CTGTCCCAAAGTGATGCTGAACGTGACGCTGCATGGGACAGAGCCTGCACCACGTAGGAGGAGGCCTAGACCGCACAGGCCCCATGGGCCCAGCCAGGGCTGCTTCTTCGAGGGACAGTCCCCCTGCACCAAAACCGCACACATCTTGGGTCCTTTTAGCTTAAGAGCTCTGCAAAATCAGGGAATGATTTCAAGGCCAAAAGGAGAACCAATAGGTTATTTGCCATTTTTCCAATGTGTCCTAACCCTAGGTGGATTGGCTCAAACCCTGTGGACTTCTTCAGTGAGAACGCTGGAACTCCGGCACCTTCTGGGAGTGCTCTGAAAATTTCCCTGCTCTTTGGAGGCCAAATTCCCCACTGAAGGCTGACCTGGCTGGGTTTCCCTGGCCTCCTCTCTGTCATCCTGAGGCCACCATCCTCTTTCTTAAGAAGGTAGGAATGACCCATCTTCACAGCCTCGGGCCTCACCCCTGAACCTCAACTAGACAGTCATATTATTTTATGCCATATGCTCGGGCTCCTATAATAGGACTTTCACTTTAAATCTTTTCCCTCCGGACTGTCTTCTCCAAAGACAAGCTGAGAAAAGGCAGACTAAAGCAATGGTTCTCAAACTGTGGTTCCCTGACTGGCAGCATGAGCATCATCTGGGAACATGTTAGAAAGGTGACTTTACTGGGTCTCATCCTAGATCTGCTGAATCGTAAACTCTGGGAGCAAGGACCAGCCATCAGTGTTTTTCCAGGCCTCCGCAGGCAATGCCCGTACAGGCTCAAGTTCCAAAACCACCAGCCAGGAGCAAGGATGCCTAGCTTTTCAAGGGCAGGTTCCCAAGAGCACAGAGGTGATGAGTCTGGCTAGAGTGGAACTCCAACATGCCCCAGACGCCAGAGGTACTCGGTCCCCGTCCCAAAACACAGAGGTACTTCGCTGGGATCCTGCGGTGACGACCGAGGCGAGGCGGGGTGGGCAGGGGGGGAGGTGGGGGCGGCAGCTCTTCCAACTACAGTCTGCCGGCGCCCCCAGCCGAGTTAAGCCGCAGCGCAGAGTCGGGGGCGGGGCGGAGAAGGCTGCGACCGCAGTCACCTCGCGAAGCGAGGAGACGCCCACGGCCCCCTCCTGGAGCTCGTCCTCCCCCCAGCTTCTGCGGCTCGTGGAGTTTCCTAGTGCTTGGACCACCCCCGCCCCTCCCATCCTTTATAAATGCGGACTCCAGAGTGCAACTGGGGTTTCCGATTCCTAAACGAGAATGGAGCCCGAAGGTCCATACTTAAAAGCTGCGCTTGGCACAAAACTCCACCCTAAGGGACCCCGGGGCTCAGCCAGGTCTGGAAGCCCCGTCATCTGTTTATGGATTAGAAGCATCCGCCTCAGGAGAATGCCTACTCCGCCTGGAGTGCGGGGCTAGCGGATCCTTTTCAGGCGCTCACCGCACAGTCCCTGGGGCACATCGATCCCAGGAGCTAGACTCAAAAGTTGCGGCTCAGGAAAGGATTAACTCTCCAGAAGCGTAATCCAAAGGCTCTCAAAGCAGGAGAGTGAAGCACAAACCCTCTGGAGCCTCACAATTCTGACGCCCCTCGCCCTTTTCGAAGTCGCTGACTCCTCCAGGGCCCCTTTCGGCCACCTGGCTTCCCCTCACATCCCGCACTCCACCCCTGCGCGTTCTAGTCACCCACTTGCGCCCCCAGGCTTGGCGTGCGCTCCAGTAACACACCAAGAGCATGGTTTAGCCTGAAAATTGGAAACTGATTTAGGAATCAAAGCGTCTTCCAACCCCCAGTAGCGAACCAACGTCATCTTCAGCTTTTGCACACCTTGATTTGTGTTCCTGGGCTCTGCTTTGCTGAATTACACACACACACACACACACACACACACACACACACACACCATCCTCAGCTCGATTTCTAGAAAGGAAAATTGTAAAAATTTCCTGCGCTTTGAGCTGCAGGCACCCACCCGCTCCTGTCCTCAGAATGCGCAGCATCAGTTTCTCAGCTACTGTTATTGGTCGAGTGGGTCCGCTCTTTAAAAGTGCGCAGTTTAACAGGCCCTCTTGTTTTTCAGCCACCAATTCAAGGTTATATTAGACTACAGTTCAAAATCTGGGTGGAAAATATCCAGACTATTAAGAGAAACTATTAAAAAAAAATCTTTACTTGCATTTTCACGTTAGCACATTTTCCTTCCTTCCTTCCTTCTCCCTCCCCCACCCCCATTTTCTTTTTTCACTGTGTAACCACTGAAGCTAATTTTCTGGACATGTTAATGGTCAATTCAGGCAGGCGCCTGAGAAGTAGTACCTCAGAAGAGAGTTGTTTTTTGTTCATCAAATAACTTATACTTTCTCAAACATCCTGATCAAACAAGGAATACTTACAATATACTTAGAATAATTTGAGAAAGATTAAATACTGCCCTATTTTTTGGAGGTTCCTCCTTGTCTTTGTTTTCTAGCAGACTCACCCCTCCGGGGGTTAAATCTGTCAGGGGCCCTTGTTTCTGCGTCTACATCACAACGACTAAGGGTGGTAATAAAGTGAGGCTCGAGCAGGATTCACTTACATGGAAGAAGAAAAACGTTAATGTTTCCCTAGACATTAATATTTCCCCAGATAAAGTCTCCTTTCCACTAATAGACAGTGAATATCTGGATATAACATACTGAGATATTTAAGTGAACATCTTCAAATTTTAATCTTGAATATAAATATCCTTCATCCTGACCTTGGCCATTGAGTAAAATCCTTGCCTGAAGTGCTCTATGCGCTTGTGTATATGTGATATGCTAGAGTGTAAAAGTGCATATGTGAGTCCCTAGCAGTCTTTTTTATTTTTTCTTAAGCGTTATGCGGGCGGCGTGGGAGACAGCATTCTAGTTTTGAAGCAACAGGGCGCAGGGAGGAGCTACCAGAGGCATGAGGGAGTCTGTGCCCGAGGCAGGGGTCGAGGCCTCTGTGCTGAAACGGGCTCCTTGGTGTGCACCGGAATTCTGCTGGGCGTTCACTTGTTCTTTTACAACCCAACAGCTTCTCTAGATTGCTCTTTGCCTGAGCAGGCAAGAGGTCCTCCGAGGATCCTCTTTTAGCGCGCGGAACTCCACAGGTTCTCGGCTCGGCCGCGGCGGGCACGCCTTTCTCCCTCTGCTCCGAAGTTGAGCCCTAGACCTCTGCTCCTCTTGGCTTCCAGGCCTATTGAGGATGGGATCCATGCATCCTGGGGTTGTCTCGGAAGGGAACCTCGAGTGCGCGATGTTCCTGTCATTCTAGGCAGTTGGCGCTCCTAGGCAGGGGGGTGGGGGTGGCGAGGGAAGGAGGGAGAAGTTTGTTTGTAAATCGGTTCTGGTTTCTCCCCGCTTTAGGACCGGGTTCTGGGGTTGCACAGACAGCGCCGGGGCGTCAGACGGCTGCAGACTGAGGCGCCCGCGCAAGGAGGCGGTGGCCTAGCCTCTTAGGGCTCCCCCGTTTGGTGTTGGTGGGTCCCGTGTGCCCATCTTTTTCCTTTCTGGGGCTTTCCCCCTTACATCGTCAAAAAGGTGGGTAGGATTAGCCTCTTAGCCTCAAGAAGCTGGTTTAAAATTACCCTTGCTAGAGGTGAGCAGCGATCCTCCGAGCACGTGGGAGGCACCCGAGGTCGCGGCTCCTGCCCGACAGGCGTGGTGCGCGCGGGGCCCCGGGCGGGGTCGCCGGGCGGGGGAGTGCCAGAGCCGCGTTCCCGCTCTAGCCGGGTTCAAAGATTAGAAAAACAGGTGTTACGTCGCCATGCTAATTCACTCTCTCGGTAAACGCGGCTCAGACAGTTGTGTGCAGAGGACTTAGCGAGGGGGCCGTCACCACATGGCCCCGCATTCACTTTGTTTATTAAAGGACACATTCGCAGTTCATCGACTACTGAGCTTCACTGGGACACCGGAGCGGCCCTCCTGGCCCCCGCCTCCGGGACATCCTCCTTGGTGTGAAGACTCCCAGACTCACCTTGATCTGAAGGCAAAGCGTTCCATTTCTTTGGCGCCAAACACGCCCAGTTTGGGAAGTCGGCGCTGCCTGACCCCTCGAAGTCCCTGCGGTGGGCAAGGGTTTCGGGCCGCTGTGGAGCACCAACACTTCTGCACATTGTTTGAAGCGGAAATAGGGTTTACGGTAACCGCGACTTAAGTGAAATCCTTTAACAGTCGGAATAGAAAAATGCTTTTTCCCCTGAAGTGTCATTGCTTCATCTGGCCGCTCCATTTTAACTCCTAAGATCTGTCCAGGTTGGGGGCTGGGGAAGTGGGGAGAAAGAAGGTTCTCAAGTAAGGTTCTTTCACCCTTTCCAAACACCCTTTTTTTTTTTTTTTTTTTTTTTTCAGCTTTATCATATCAGCTCTCATCAGAAGGTGGAAAACTGTATCTGGCCCTTCATTGCTTCATCTGGCCGCTCCATTTTAACTCCTAAGATCTGTCCAGGTTGGGGGCTGGGGAAGTGGGGAGAAAGAAGGTTCTCAAGTAAGGTTCTTTCACCCTTTCCAAACACCCTTTTTTGGGGGGGGGGGGCACGAGTCAGCTTGATCTTATCTGGTCTTTCCAGAATCTTGTGTATAAGTGAGCCCCAGTACATCTCTCTCTGTATCCCTATCCGTCTCTTGTTAACAGGGCATTACTTGGTGGTTGAACCGCCCAGAGCCAGGCTTGTTAGTGGCTACAGCTTCTGGGGAAATGACTCCTCCTTCTAGATTAGAGTCCATTTGCTGGATTCCAGTTTGGGAACACCTATAACGTCTCTACATTTAGTTCTTTTACAAAAAAGTCTCCCTCCCCCCCACTCCTGTCCAGAACGTTCACCACTTCCTCCTGCCAGGTGTTTCCCAGATGTGTAAATATCCCCAAGACTCTCCCACTGTCGTTCTTCAAGCTTACTGCCATTGGGCTGCAAGGAGGCGGTGGGTGTATGTATTTTTGAACAAACACTCTTAAATTTGTTCCGAATATCAGCAGGATGCCACACACCCCTCTTCAGAGTATCTGTTTTCTCGGAGGCAATTAGCGTCACAAACGAGGAGAGCAACAGGACTAGTGTTCTCTTTTCTCGATGATGAAACAACTGCCTCCAAGCCGACCTCCGGGAGCCTTTAAGTGGCCACCAGCCGCACCAAAAGGAAGCAAGGAATCGCTTCTGTAGGGAGTGATTTGCAAGTAGCAACAATTATCTTCCAGGGCGAAGGAACTTTCCCCCATTGCTGTTTTGTTTTATCCACAGATGACAGAGAAGGCGATTCAAATTAAGAGGTTCTCTTAAAAATAACTTGTCAGCAATAGTACTTACAAGCGTTTGTTTAAACGGCTCCTGTAAAGGATTGTAAATGCTGTAAATTCATTCATGCAGACTGTATCCTTCCGTTAAGGAATAGTGGTGTTGGACTTTGGTTTCCTGAAACAAAACCCAACAACAACAAGAATCTTCGCTCAGGATTAGGGTAACAGACTGCTGTGAGGTGTCTATATATCAACGACTCTATTTTGGCCCGAAGTGTAACCTCTTTTCTTCTAGTGTCCCCTAACTGCTCCCCATAGGAAAACCCAGAGACTGAGCTTTCTACGGTGAACAAAGTCAGCCCCCATATTCTACCCATTTCGAAAAAGACGCTCCTCTTTGGGATTAATTTAAATATGGGTATATTTATCCTCTCTGGAGATGAATTCGGTGTCGCCGTAATTTCAGAGATGCGAACAAAAAAATATAAACTACCGGCTAGGCACGCCGTGAGCCCCGCGACTTGCCGGCTAGAAGGGACCAGCCGGCTGGTCGGCCTCTGGGCAAACGTTTCCCGCAGCCAGAGCGACTCCCGCCTCGCCTGTCGGGCGCCCCAACCCACGGGCCCGACCTTTGCGGCCCGGAGGCCGCTGCTAGTCTCTTTGGGGAGCTCCTGGCACTGCGAGACCGGCGATCAGGGCTGAGTGCACAGCCCCTCGACCCCCGGGAGAGCAGGGAGGTTCTGCACATCGCCCTCAAGATCCGGGAGGCCGAAAGCAGCAGCTGCTGAGGGCCAGCGCAGACTCCCGTGCTCGGGGCTAGTTAGGAGCGTTACAGCCACGCGGCTAGCTAGGCGGCTTGCGGAGAGCTGTGGCGCGCGGCTGGGAGGGGGCGGGGGCGGGGAAGCTCGGTTCGTGCACGCGTCACTCAGGCCTGTTGGCCAATAAGCGCCGCACCCCGAGACGGAGCGAGCCAATCATAAACGAGGAGGTTTTGAGTGGCATTAAGAGAGGGCGGGAGAGAGGGAGCCCGGGAGTGAAGTTGAAGCTAAACCCTGTAAAGCCATAAAGAAGTTACAGGGGGGCGTTTTCGGCTCCCAATTAGCAATAATACTTCCTTCGTAACAACTACCGAGGAGGAGGATTCTAAAGCCACCTCACCCGTCCCAAAGCCCGAATCCCCCCCCCGCCCCGCCCCGCTTCTCCCTCGCACCCATCCCCCAATTCATAACCGAGAGAAGAAGAGAGCCAGGGCGCGCTCTGCTCCTCTCTGCTGGTGGGAAGCGGTGAGGCCCGCGGAATGGCTTAGTTGGACGGTAGGCTGAGCACAACTAAGAGGTGGGCGCCTCCGCATGCTTTGCCCCGGCAGGGACTGAAGGTAGGTGAAGCGGAATATGCCCCGCGCCCGCCCAGTGGCGCCCGCGGCTCCACGGCGGAGGAGAGGCCGGGCGCCTCCCGCCCTCCGGTGCCTGCGAGGGGCTGTCGCGAATGTGCCACCTGTTAACCTGGCGCTGCCGTGCCCGGCGTGCTGCCGCCCCCACTGGGCAGGGGAAGCGCTGGGTCGCCTCCTCGGCAGTCCCGAGGGACGCGATGTATAAGTGCCACTTTTTGAGGAATCGCTGAGACTTGAAACCCAAGTTAGAGTCAAGTTCCGGACCTACCGAAGTGGGGGGACCGAGAGGCGCCCGAGCGCTGCGGAGAAATTCTGATTTGCAGAAACCTGCCTTCCTGGGAACGTACGCCTGGCCTGGGGCTCCTAAGGGTCTTTCGAGACCTATGGTTTGGGCAACTTCCCAGGGGGCTGGAGAATGTGTCTGACGGGGGTGAGAGAAGGCGAATATTATTTGCCGGGGACTCAGTCTCGCTGCTGATTTTTCCAAATCTTAACCAACCAACCAACCAACCAAAACACTGAGCCTGGCAAGGAAAAGCGGAGGCGCGCTGAGGCCCTTCCCGGCCATCTCCTCCAGAATTGGGGCGAGCGCGTGAGTGAGTGTGGAGCCGCAGATGTCTGACGCTCTGATGCTGTTGTCTTCACAGTGGCCTGAAAGAGTGGTGCGGCAATCGTGTTCTTCCCCAAGGGGCTCGGAGCCGCCGCCAAGGCCTCGGGACTGAGAGCACCCGTCGGGGATTATTATGTCCATCTCCCGAGGACCGGTGTTTGCAGCGCGGAACCGAAGAAAAGGCTGGCTCTTCGGGGTTCCTGCTGGCATTTGATACCCAGCTACGCCTAGGATTGTCGAGATCGCTTGCCTTGGATCAGCAATTTATTCGCATTCCTAATTTTTAAAGAAAAATATCTGTTCACCGTTGCTGTTCTTTCACTACCATCAAAACACTGAAGCAAGTGTCGTCAAAGTATGCTTTATATTTTTTGCCAAATATGATCTCTAATTGAAAGTTTATTTTTGATTTTGGATGAATCTGTGGAACTTATGTTGTAAGAAGAAAGGGAGAACGAGACACGATGAAAGAGAAGTCCAAAAATGCTGCCCGGACTAGGAGGGAGAAGGAAAACAGTGAATTTTATGAACTGGCTAAATTACTGCCTTTGCCCTCAGCTATCACCTCGCAGCTGGACAAAGCATCCATAATCAGACTCACCACCAGCTATCTCAAAATGAGAGTAGTGTTCCCAGAAGGTAAGTAACTTTGACCAGATGGAATTTCAAAGGTAGAAGGGGTAAGGGATTTGCCAGTGGATGACTACACTACCGGCAGAGAAGTGCACTCATACTTACCTACACACACTGCAAAGGGAAGTTTAGCATGCTGGAATAACTAAGGACCTCGCTGGATTTAGAATTTCTATTGCCTTTCTGTGGCTCTTTCTGCTCCCCCACTAATACTTTCTCTTCTGTCCATCAGATGTGTTTGATTGGGAAGCAGCCCAGCGGTGCTTTTGTCAACACTTAGATAACTGGGCTCAGTCGGAAGTACTACTAACCCAAACATGACTTTCTTTTTTAATTCCTCTTATTAGATTTATATCTAGTAGAGAGCAGGAGCACCTCTAAATTCTTCTAATTTTGTTATGTCTAGACAGACCCATGTACAAGGAGATAATAATTTCTCAATATGTCAGTAATTCAGCAGATGAGGAGCAGGCAAGTTCATGAACAAATATGTTCTGAATTTACCCAGTCTCTGGACTACTTATTGCAAATTTATTCTGAGTTGTTGAGATGGTCACAGATTCTGAGACTAACTCTGATTTGCAACTCTGGGCTTGATATTTTTTTTTCTGAGATATAAGATGGAATTAAGATCACTTGCCTGCTTAGAAAATATCTTTTAGGTGGCAGGTTGGCAAATGAATCCCTGGGAAAATTGTCTTATAAGGCCTAGAAGTTAGAATAGCTGAACTGTTGACATGATTTAAAATGTGTTTTTAGATTATCAAGATTCACTGTGTGAGGACAAAGTACGCTTCATAGAACACCGTCTTGTATAAAACCATTTATATTCAGTAGGTGAAGGACTCGTCTCTCTTCTGTTTCCCCATCTTTTCCTTTATTTACATTCAAATAACGTAAACAGATTTTAAAAAATATTTTAGATATGTCTTTGCTGTGGAAGGACGATTTGGAAGTGTAAAAGAGAGAATACTAAACAAACAAATTCAAGAGAAGGAACGCTGTTTATTTACAAACCAGAACATCTTATTTGACCCAGAGAGATTTATGTTATTGTTGATTCTGGATGTTTGGAATTTGTTGTTTATTTTAGGGAGAAGAGGGAAGGAAAGAATCACTATTGGGCTTTGAGTTTCACTTTGCTTCATTTTGACTACAAGTTATTATCTGAATCAAGATCTTGCAAAACATGCCCCCAAATTAGTCAGGAGCACTAAAGGACAACTTTTATAGTTCAGTTTTAGCCCAAAGCTATAAGTAGTATTATGGTCATTTTGTCTTAAAGCAGTTCCTTGAACAATTTCATCTGACCTTGGAAACTACGAGAGGAATCAAAACCTAACATACCTGAAAAGTTTTTAAAAAAAAAGAAAAGAGAGAGAGAGAAAAAAAGAGGGGCAACTTATGTAATAAAAAAAACCCACATTTCCCATTCAACCTGTGCTGAGAATTGCCGGTGGGAAAATTTCTATTATGCTACATTGCCTTCTGTTTAAAAAAGAGATATCGTTGTCTTTATACTGTCAGCGCCTACTTTATAAAAATAAAGCTATTGCGAACTCCGCTGGCCGCTCTGTTCCTAACAGGATTATTAGCAGTGATTTGTCAGCCCCTGCGGTCTCAGTGGGCTCCCTTTCTGCGTGATTTCTAGCGGGTCTCGTCAATTATCGGTGCCGATGTCGCTCGCTGTTTGATCAGAAGCAGCATATGGTGCTGCTTGTGAGGCTGCGAGTAATCGCGGAGGAAAAGAATAGCGGGTCGGCTTCCCCGGGCGGGCGCAGAGAGGGACAGTGAGCCCCGGGAGTCGCTGGGCCAGGGGCTCCTCTGGGTCTGGCAGACCCCGGGCAGGCGCGGCCAGAGGGAATCGGGCTGGTTTTTGTTGTTCTGGTTTTGTTTTTAAGAGAGCAAGCTTTCTTGTTTAATGCTAACTCCACAAATTATAAATTGCGTGATAAATAGGAGGAACAAAAAGTAAACCCTCTTAGCCAACTTCTCATTAATTTTAAAAAGAGCGCGGGTGAAGACTCCCGCTGGAGTCCCCTTGTTGACCAGGCCTGTCCCCTGTGGCTACTTTAAAGGCGACTGTACTTTCTGCAGCTCCACTCACCTTCCTTCAGAGATCTGGCCAGGGGCCGCTCCTGCCTCTCCCTTCTTTGGATACTTGCGAGTTTATGGGGAGGAGGGGATGGACGATGTGTGAACTCTGGGCACATCATTTATTTCCCCAGCTACTGTTGAGCTCATAACTCACCCGAAGCCTCCACCGGGTGAGTTAGGGTCATCCGGACAGCTGGTTCCTAGGGAAGAGGTTTTAATTTTGAGGCTAGATTAGCTTCAACAGTCCAAAACCCAGATTCAGCCCTTTAAATTAAAGGACAACAGCAACAAACAATAAAACCAACCGTTTTCAGAAGGAGCGAAATAATCACAAGGCCGCAGAACCAAGCGCAACCTGCAGAGGGTGCCAAATTTGGGTTCAGCTGCTGCCTGAAGGCAGAAAGGTGGGCAAGATTAGGTCCATGGCAGTGGGGGGAACTGAGCACTTTTTATGGAGGTAATATATTTTAGTGTGGAGAGACGGAAAGAATTTGTTCGAAAATGAAGTACATTTTCACATCTGTCTTGACACGATCCTAGCACATAGTAGGTCTTCAACAAATTTTTAAGGGTGAGATGAAGGTAACTGTTTCATCACAATAAGCCTGCTATCACATGTAACGGATGGGTTTTGCAAAGTATATAATCTAAAATAATTCTAAATCTGGTGGCATCAGTTATTAGGCATAAAAATGACTATAAAACTTTACTGTTTTTGCTCATATTACATTTTATTTATAGTACCCTGTAATGCCAAAAGACTTAAACAGAAATCCTTCCATCCTTACACGTGAAAAAAAATGAAAGATCCTTAAAATATAGCTACCCTCCCCCCATTTGTTGAATACAATTCCTACCTACCCTGCCCCCAGGAGTCTAGTAAATTCCTTGTCTGGGAGCAAATTTCAGCTTTTATTTATCTCAATAGATAAAATTGAGCTGCTGAGCGTAAAAATCAAGGGAGAAGGAACAGAAGAATGGGATATGGGCCCCTGGAATACTTAAGAATAAAGTATTAAGTTGGAAATTTCATAGTAAAAATAAAAACAAAAACTCTGGGACAATTAGTGGGAAATCATTAGAACTGCCTATCCCAAGTGGTAACATATTCTATTCTAAAATAGCTTTGCAAAGGAAAAGTTGGCATATCTGGATATATATGTGTTTGGTGTTCTCAAAGCCAAAAAGGCAAGATAAAAAAAGAGATGTTATGACTTGATTTGTATACAAAAAAGAAAAAGTTCAACTAAAATATGTATTTGTTATCCAGTTATAATACTGGGGGCATAATGGATTGCATAGTGTGGACTTTGAAAAGATCAAATGTTTTCAAATCTATGGCCATTCAGTATCTTGGTAACATTACTGCCATTTCTTTGTCAACATGTCTTGGCAAAATCAAAGTAATAACAGAATTGAAATCAGTAACTGTGTAGGAAAGTCTCTACAAAGGCTGGAAAGAAAAGGATGATTAAACAAACCTCCATAGACACTTGCTGTAATATTCACCTCAAGACTGAAATCCTTAATCACCTTATATTTTTTTGAGGCTGAGAACTGAAAGAGGAAAAGAGGCCCCATTTCCCACGTGGATGGGTGATTTAAGGCTGTTTTTCTTGCTGCTTGGGGAAATGATTGAGCATTAGGTTTCCATGTTTATTTTCTTACAGAAGTTTTTCTCATTTAAACGCCTTTAAGCACAGTTTATGCTCCACGCTGGGTTTCTCTGTTTAATTCCAGTTTTGATGTTGACTTAAAATGTAGAGTGCAGAACTAAACTCTGGGCAGAGCATTTGCAAGGCAGATTTATGTGCTAGAAATTGTAGACCAGATCAATGGAAAAAGTACTTTTTTTTTTTTTTAGGAAAAAGGAGTAATCATTAATAACAGTAACAATAGCTGCAACAGCAAAACTATGGTATGATAAGCTATGGTAGAATACTTTTAAGTAGGGTACACTTCTCTGAAACTAAAATCAGGTTAAATTTCCAGAGGACAAACCTGAGTTCTAGGGGGAGTTATTTTTCAATCTGGGGGAATCTTGGCAGATTCCAGGTTTTGCACATACAAATGTGGACACAGAATTCAAATCTATGAATTCTTGCCTCATTTCTCTGTCGGATCAGTTATTTCTCAAGAGAATAAGGTTTAGTCCCAGCTAAAACCTTATGATAATAGCTGTTCACCCATTGTCAGTCTGTGGTCCACGGAATTTTAAATTTTGCATGGGGACGGGGAATCCTCAATTATTTTGCAACGGGCCTCCTTATCAGAAACACTAAAACAGGGTCTGATCATTGAGGAGCAAAGCTCTTTCTTCCGGTAGCGCCATTGGGCAGGCGGCTCCGGAGCGGTATCAATACCTCGACCTCCGTGGCTCAGACCAGTCCAGGGACAGCGACCTTGTCGAAGCCCCCGCCGCACCTCGCGGCCGGGGAGGCTTGTAGGCCACGGCCCGCGGGCCGGATCCCCGCCGTGCGGCCTATTCTCTCCCTGCGGCTGCAGCCAGTGACCCGCCCGCCTTGGCCCCGGTGGCCGAGAGTGCGCCAGCTCGCGGCCTCCGCGCGGTGTCTCCTCCCGCTCCGCGCGGGTCCATGTTTCCGTCTTCCTGGGGCGTGAGGGCGTCTCAGCCCGCCGAGCCTGGGGCTGCGCGGGCCCCTGCCCCCAGGCCCGGCCCTCCTCTAAAACTCCTCTAAAGCCAAGATGCCGCCCGAGGGGCAAAGCTGTGCGTCCCGACCGCCAAGTGGAACCGAAGCGCGACAGGCCCGCGCAGCGGGGCAGACCCACCGGCCTCGCCCGCGCCGGTCTTTGGACGCCCAGCCCGGCCAGCCTCGAAGGTCGGGAGTCTTGGGGAGACACCGCGTGAGGCTCTCAGCCGTCGCACACTCTTGTCCACCCTTCGTGCGTGTCCGTTCCCCAGGTTCGTCGAGACCTGGCCGGACCCGGCCGGTCCTCGTTCCTGCAGTTCCTGTTCTCTCGGGCTCGGCCCCGCCCGGGAAGCCCTAGCTCAGGGCCGAAGCACCAAGGAGCGCGCAGAGCATGTCAGCGTTGCGCCCGTCGGTCTCCACCCCAGGTTCACACCGACAGAAGTGGATACCCTGGGCGCGGCTGGGGGTCTCGCAGGCAGTCAGGGGAGCACCGGGCACACGCGGGGCCCGGGGCCCGGGACCCTGCGCGGGGCAAACCCCAGCGCCGCGCGGCCACCGACGTCGTCGGAAGGTGGGCCACACCCGCCAGGTGGCCCAGAGGCCGCGCCGGGCGTCCCAGGTCGGGGTACTGAGTGCGTTTCGGTGCGCGAAGCAGCCTGCTGCCCACTGACCGCTCCAGACCGCTCGGTCTGGGCGAAACGCTCCTGATCTCCGGCCCTCTCTGCCCCTGAGAGCCCAGCCGCTGAGGCTCCTGGAGCCGGAACACGAAAACCGCTTGCTCTAGGGCTGAAAGGGTTGCACAGTACGCTGTGTGAGGACGCGAGGCCCTGTGGACAAACCAGACGGCTGAGACAAGCCCCCCGGGACCAGAAGTTAGAAGCGGGGTCTCGGAGAGCTTTCCCCGTCTCAGTCACCGAGTTATGGTCAGGTCATGGGACAGCTCCCCGTCATCCAAGAATTGAAGGTTCCCGGGAAGGACCATAAGGAGAACACCTTTCTATTGAGATACAGTGTTTATCTATTAAAGGAGGGTGGGGGTGGGGGGAACAGTAGAACAAGCTCTTCTCCTCCTCCTCTTCCTGACTGGGTGAAGGAGGAGATACCTGGTCTGTAATCTATATTTTGTCAAGGGTATGAAACTCATTCCGAAGGAAAAGCTCGATCAATTTATTTTTGCTGCTTGCAATAACACAGCTGGATGATGCTTTGGGCTCACGCTAGACTGGGGCTCATCATTCATTCGCCAAGAACGGGCCTAAATTGTGCCTGTGGGATTAGGTCAATTTTAGTGGATCTACTTCGCCTCATTTGGTTACTAATTGGTTTCTTGTTTTAGAAATCGAAATCTCATTTTCAGGAAATTACAAAACCCGTGCAGTCAGTCCATTGAGGTAATCCTTGGGTCAGGGGGTATTTAAATGGAAATGGCTCAACGGCGCACTGAGGGTAAAGCAACAGTGAAACTTCGCCCGGGACTTCACATGAAATGTGAGCTAGTCCTTTAGATCCATAATAGATACATCCCTTCTAATACTACTTATGTAAATATGATAAACCAGACTTTAAGGGGAGAGGGGGCGGGGAGAAGAAAAATTTATCTGCTAAGGTTAATGTGGCATATCTTGGAAATCTTCCAAAATAGATTATGTTTTCCTTTGTCTTCGGCCACTTTAGCTGGGGAAAATCCTTTTGTCTAAAACCCGATTTAGTTATCGCCTCCCTCGTAGAGCTCCTTCTCTCCTTTGCAAAACCCCGTTCCCTCGGCCTCACCGAATTACAAGAGAATCTTTAGATCTTGTTCCCACTGTAATCCTGCCGCAAAGGGAGCTGGTTTCCTCCTCATTTTAAACAGACAATCAAAGGATTTGCGAATTTTCTGCGGTAGGTCAAGTGCAGAAACGAAATCTCAGCTTACCCCCCTCTCCAACAGAAACAGGGGGCGGGAGCGCGTCAGTGCGGGCGGAAGGTGACCGGGTCCAGGGAGAGCGGTCTCTGCCCCCACGCCAGCCCCGGCTTTTTGAGAAATGAAACCCATGCCCTGGGCTTGGAAGGTGTCCTGGGCCGGTTGAAAAGAGAGCTCAGAGCCCTGATCTTAGGTCAGAAAAGCTCGACAGGTAGAGGAAGGCAGCCAGTTCCTTATAAAACATTAACCCAGACACAACCGTGTGCGGGAGGTTTCAACCGGGAACAGGAGAGAAGGCAATGCTCCGTGAAAGCAAAAGTTTCCTTAAAAGGTGAGGGGGTGGGGGTTACAGGAGAGGGCGCGGGAGGCTCCTGTCACCCTCTGCCCGGCCCAGCTGTTTATTAACCTGCAGGGAAGTCTTACTTTTCTCTCGTAGGCGCATACTAATGAGGCCGCCCCCAGAGACCACAACCCTCCGAGGCTGGCGCCGGGAGTTCGGAACCAGTACTCAACTCTGAGCTCAGCTCGGGGGGTGGGGGGTGGTTTCAGATGATTCGGGTCAGGAGGCGGCGCCCCGGTGTCCCCAGCCGCTTTGGGGAACCTTCGTTAATTGTAGAATAAGGCGTTTGTTGGCTCCACGAGAAAGTTTCACACCCTTTGGGGAGCTTCGCAAGGCGGCCGCAGCCAGCTCTCTGCCCGACGAGCGCCTGGCCCCTCGCCCCAGGAAGTTCGGGGCTTTCAGGCCTCGGTTGGGCCCCAGCGTCCAAGGGCCTGCGCCACCCGAGTCCCGGGCTCTCCCGGCAGGATCCTTTCCCCACTCCCCCGTGCGACCTCCTGGACTACACCCTCCCGCCACTTCTTCTGGGTGGGTATGTGTGATCGGGGGTGAAAACATGAGTGGGTCGTGCCAGAAACTAAGGAAGAGAGCTTGACTCAGACGCAGGAGCTAAGGCAAAGTAACAAGGCGAAGGGTTGTGTGTGTGCCGGCTGCTGCGGCAGGGCCCTTCGGAACGGCCCAGGAGGACCGCAGGGACCTGGGCAGTGAAGTCACCCTGGGGAGGGAAACTGGGGCGGGAGGAAGAATCAGGAGGAGTTGCCCAACGCGAGGAATGGAGAGGAGTCCTGGCGAGGGCGGGGGCTGGTGGGGGCGGATCAGTGTTTGCAGAGCGGTGGGGAAATCGTTAGATTTATTTAGATGTGCAAACACCCAGAAAAACCCGATTCGAGCTTAAGGGGCGCTCACGGTTACTCGTTACCAGGGTTTTGATCGCTGGCTTCGGAAGCAGTTTTAAGAGTCCCAACTCCGCGTTTTACTCTGAAAGATCCGCCCCCACCCCCATTTACAATGCGAGTGTTTGTCATTGGGTACTTCATAGTGATCTGTCCCGTAACGCAGTAATTCAGTAAATCATCCCCCCCCCGTTTTTATCACGTTTAACCTTGTTCAATGGTGGAAGCATAAAAGAATTGGAGTACCTAGTTATGTTAATTTCAGCAGCAACATTGTTAAAAGATATTACCCATAAGTAGTTTAACCACGGCAAGTTTCTTCTCTCTTTACATTTTCTTCCTGAAAACAGGTACTACAGCAGACTCCATATTAAATTTTGAAAAATGAGCCACGGGCATACAGGGAGGTTTATTTTTCAGACATCACCAGAGAACTGATTTGTGGCAAAGCCTGGGGAGAGCTTAAGGTGATAGCATCAAGGACAGGAAGGGGCAATCTTTGTTACTAGTTGATGCCCGGGAATTAGAGAAGGGGAATGATTCCCTATGTCCAAACGGGGACGTAAATATTGTAAGATGGTGTTAGCACCTGAAAATAAGTGGCTTTCAGAAAAGCCCCTGGGTTTTTCTTGGGGTGGGGGTGGGGCCCTGAGGTTAGGCCCCTTAAAGGGGGGTCTGCTAGGAGAGAGGAAAGGCAGAGGAAGGGTTGCGGAGGGTAGCTGATGCTGGAAGCCATCCCCAAGCAGACGAGTTTTTCCAGAGCGTTTTAAAGTAGGAGGCCAAGGGGAGGAAGAGGGCTGGAGAGCCCCGCAGCCAATCAGAAGGCCCACCAGGACGAGCTGGCCTTGGCCCGCAGTCTCGGGTCGTCCTGGGCGGGCCGCGGTGTTCGCTGAACATGTGGACACTCGCGGCCTCGTGATAAGGAGGATGGTGAGACTCGTGGTGAGAAGGAGTTCCCTCGCCCTTCTAAGCACACTAGTGAACCTACACAAAAGCTGTCGCTCTGGTGTTGTGTCGGGCCCCTTCTGGGCACAGACTGCCCTCAAACGAGGCCACTTGGGGTGCTGCCGGGGTGGGTGAGTGGGACGCTCAGCCAGGACCCTGTCCTTCCTGAGAAGCCGGGGCCGGTCTTGCAGAGGCAGAGGGAGTCTGGCGTCTGTTAAACTCCTTTGGAGCCGAGAGGCGGAGCAGCAGTTGACCCGCCGGCGTCCCCGCGGTCCAGGTGGAGAGGGAGCCGGACGGTGTCCGGTTGTGAGTGAAAGCTTGCCTGGGTGACAGAACCACTAAACTCCTCCTCAAACCGCCAGCCGGCTCGGAGTGCATCTTTTAAGGGTGTCTCTATGTTTCGCAGGGCTCGGCGAGGCGTGGGGCCACTCGAGCAGGACCAGCCCCCTGGACAACGTGGGCCGCGAACTGGGCTCGCACCTGCTCCAGGTACTGAGGCGGCGTGTATGCGAGGGCCCGAGCCAGGCTCCCTGCTCCCCAGAAAATGTTCCGAGGTGGCCGTCTCACACGCAGCCCCTGTGACTCCTTATAAAGTTAAAATGTTAGGCTCCTGACCTCGCTGGGTGTGGAAGTCTCCTGGCCACGTGGAGAGGGCGAGCAGGTGACAATGGGCGCCTTGGGTTTGGAGGGGAGCCCGCTAAGGCCACAATCAGGACGGCTGAACCGAGGGAGGGGGCGCCATCTGACACCACTCGGCAGAGGGAACCACAGTCCTCAGGCCAAGCTGCCGAAGCCCGGCTGCACAACCGTCCGAAATGAAGAATTTATCCCGGAAATAGCCGGGATCTGGTAGAAATGCCCGTCAGTGCTTTAAGCCCACACATTCCGGATGCAGCTGCGACCACAACTCGTTTCATCTGCGCCCTGTAGCTCCCGGGGCTCCTTCCTCGCTCCAGGCGCCCTCATCCCAGCCCTGCCAGGCTGTGCAGGGACCCTCGCTGTAGCACACACACCTCCCCAGGTAATGAGTTTATCCATTGTGGAGGCGCCCATCACCACGTTGTTTGCAGTGTACACCGTTTGAAATTGTCCACTGCCCGAGTAAGTCGCCTAGCAAATACTTAAAATAGTAAAACTCCCCGTGAAATTTTTAGGCTTGACACTTGTATCCCACCCTGCACCCCCTTATTCTTGTTATTCAAGTCCACCAAAGCGCCTCATGTGGGAGCCTCAGCATCAGACTGCGGACTCTGAGATGGTCCTCCCTCCCTGGCCAGGCATGCTCAGCATCTCATGGCAGGAGTGGCCTCGCCTTTCCAGCCTCATCACTATTCAGTTCCTCAATCCCAGAGGCCAAAATTCTTCAATCCCAGAGGCCAAAAGAGATTTTAGTTTCATAGGGCAAAGAGAGGCCCTGTGTGAGCATTCCCTTCCAGGCCTGGCCTCCACACCCCTAAATTTAATGAAAAGGCACTATCTCTCCCCTTTCTGCGGGACACCTTCCATTGGTTGCCTCTCAACAACTGACCCCCTCCAAAATCCCTTCATATTCCCAGCTAACTTTCCTCATCAATATAAACAAGAGAGCGCAACCCAAACAGCCACCCCTTCTAGTCCTCTCCCAATCTTTTCCCTCATCTTCATCCCAAACTCCTCACAGGACTCAGCGGTCCTCTCCGTTTGCATGGCTCACCTGGCTCTCCCCACTCCCACACCACTGCAGTTGGCCTCTCTCCCAGGGGTGTGCTCTGCACAGGCTGTATCTTGCTTTTCAGCATAAGATGCTCATCTCTTATCTTACCTGACCTCGTTCATTCCACAAACACAGGAGGTCCAACTGTGTGCCAGGCAGAAAGCCCTGGCCTCATGGAGCTGACACTCTAAGGAGAGCAGCCTTGCAAATCCACACAGGTGCTCTGCATAGTGTGAGAGTAGTGTGGGCGCCATGGAGAAAAAGGAGGTGAAGAGGAGGGCTGTGTTTCAGTGGTGGGACAGTTGCAGAGAAGAACCTCACTGGCAAGGTGACATTTGGGCAAAGACTGGATGGAGGTGACATGGCTTACTTGACATTCTGCCTTAGTCTCCAAAGTAGCACAGTTTCCTGGATTCTTCCCCCTGCTCTGCTTGCTATTCTAGGTTTTCCCACCACTGTCTGACTGTAAATGCAGGCATTTCCCCAAGGTTCCAGCTTTGTTTCTCCTCTTACAGCTTCAAGGCTTCCCGGGTTATCTCAGCCAACACCACCACATCAACTCCTTTCCCCACATTTGCATGACTTCTTGTCTAGACATCCCTCTCCTGAGCAACAGACCTTTATTTCTTGCTGCCATCTGGACACATCCAAATGGAAATCTGCCTGTACCTGAAGTTTAGCATACCCAAGACAAGAACTCACTATCTCCTTCTTCCAGGCTTCCACTCTTACAAAAACTCACCATGCCTCTGTAAATTTCAAAGATCTTGAAGTCAGTCTCAGCTTTTCTTTCTGCCACCACAAATTCCACAACAGCCAGAATCATCTTAGACTCTTTCCCCACTGTCTTCCCTGAACCACCGAATTCAAGCTTGACCATCCCTGATTTCCTCATCTCCACTCTTTCCTCCTATAGGTCACTGTCCACATTCTGCCAGAAAAATGAAACAAAAAATACCACCAACACACACACACATTTAAACCTGCTATTTATTTCCCTACTCTGTTGGAACCTGATGCCTGCAAAGCATCTCTGAATTCCTCAGATTGACATCCCAAACTCCCCAAAAATCCAGTACCAGTGTATTTCCTCAGCCTCATCTCTGGTACACCAAACTTATCATGCTGAATACACCAGATGCATCCTCTCCTCTCCCCCAGTGCCTGCTTTCTATATATCATTCTTCTGTCTAGGATGACCACCTTCCCTTTTCACATTCAGGCTTCCTCTTCAAGGCTCTGCTCAGACAGTTCTTCTAAATTCTGATTCTCTGAGCACTCTGATTCTCCCCAGGTCTCAGGCTGCTCAGCCTCCAGTCCCTCACAGCACTGTCCCTTCAGTTCTATGGTCATGATATTGGCTTTAGGTCTGTTGTCCCTTATACACTTCTGGCTCCTTGAGAGCAGGATCAGACTCATCCTGATGCTCCACCGCCTGGACTGAAGCCTTATTCACAGAGATAAAGAAACGGTGAAAGTCTGATTTCCCTTCATGGAGAGCCTGTCAGTTTGCTACATCTGTGTAAACACACACATATACTCTGTAGCACTACTGTGTGGACTTGCTGTCCCGAAAGACTCTCATCTCCTAAATCCCCCTCTCCTGGACTCTTTCCAGAGCCACCGGCCAGCTGCCTTCTGTCTACAAACTTTTCAGACTGCCAATGCTTCCACATCTCTCAGTGCCTCCTGTTCCCCAAACCCCGCTAGCACGCTTTCCATTATAGAATGTCCCACCATGAAACTCTCCAAGGCGGACACGGGAAACCTCTGGTTTTCTTAGTACCCATCTTATCACAGGCTGTGGTTTCCCCCCCAGAATGTTTGTGTATGTGTAGATATGTCTGCTTTGTTCATTTCTTGAATCCTCGGTCTTGGAGGACAGTAGCCTCACCCACCACTTCCTCCATGCTTACAAATTTGGAATGAACAAAAGAACTCTTGTCGCTATTTTTTTTTTTTTTTTTTTGCCCTCCTTCCTGCTAGCCTCTGTCTACTCCATCTCTCTGTACTTCTGTATCAGTCCCCCTCACCCCCAATTTCTCCCAATGGCCCGGAGTGCTCTCCATTCAATGGTTTCTGTCTCCCCAGACCCTGGATGGTTTCATCTTTGTGGTGGCCCCAGATGGGAAGATCATGTACATCTCTGAGACAGCCTCAGTCCACCTGGGTCTTTCTCAGGTAGGTGAGTGGTCCACACCTCCAGCCTTCAATATTTACAGCCAGGGCTGGAGGCAGGGGGTGGGGCGGGGGTGGGGCTTCCCCAAGGCATTTCTGTGTTTCTTGGACTGGAAACATCTCAGTTGGCAGGCGATCTGGATCTTCCCCTTCCTCTTATTGTCCTTTAGCATCCACCCCAAGCCCTTAAAGCTGCCTTTTCCAGCCGCTATAGCCTAAACCAAAGGCCATGGGAGGTGGCTAAATATTTATGTCATGATGTCTTTACCAGATTGCCAGGGAGCTGTTACTATTACTACTGCTACTATTACTATAATTACTATTGTTATTCTTTCCTCTCACAGATAAGGAAACTGAGGCGTAGATAGGTAGCAATAGGTAGGAGGCAGAACTGGAATTAGAACTCAGGATCGACTCTGGAGCTGAGGCTCCTGTCCCCTGCAGATCCCCTGGCTCAATCTCTCAGCCCCTCCGTGGGACGTCCCACCACCTCGGAGACGGTGATACCCACCTCTTTACAGGTAGAGCTGACCGGAAACAGCATTTACGAATACATCCACCCGGCGGACCACGACGAGATGACGGCGGTGCTCACGGCCCACCAGCCCTACCACTCTCACTTCGTCCAGGGTAAGGCACCCGCGTGCGAGCGACGCCGGGACCCTTCGCAGTAGGCTGCTAGCTCTTCCTCCCTGCCGGCTGTGGCGGGGATAGCGGCGCCGCCGCTTGTCTCACGGGCTCCTCACCCCCACCCCCGCAGAGTACGAGATCGAGCGCTCCTTCTTCCTGAGGATGAAGTGCGTCTTGGCCAAGAGGAACGCGGGCCTCACCTGCGGCGGCTACAAGGTGCGTGGCTGCGAGGGAAGATCCACGCCTCCTGGCGGTCGCGCCCACCGAGCAGCGCGCGGGCCAAGGGGCAGGACTGGAGGCGCGTGCGGGTGGGGAGAGGGGTTCCAGGACCACCCTGGACGGCTCCCTTCCTCCCTAGCCCCAAAGGTCACACAGCTCCGCCGGCCGGGCGCCCGGCAAGGGTCATTCAACTTTGTGAACAGCTGGAGACTGTGTTTTAAGCTTGCTTCCGTCTCATGGGTTCGAAAACTGCCTTGGACGCTAGGGATCTTAACCTCGGGCTGGTAATGGGCCTTAGGGATGTGTAAAGCATCTGAAACAGTCGGTAAGTTCGGGAGATTCGTAGAGTTTACTCATAGGGTCGGATTCTGCCCCCTCCCCCGCCAGAGGTTAAGAACCAGAGATTAGCTGGAATGCAAGCTTGTTCTTGTTTAATGGCAGCGAACATGATCAGAATGCAGATCCCAGGGCCCCACTTGGCGATCCGAATGCATAAGGGCTGGCCGGGCTCAGGCCTCTGCATTTTCATCAGTTCCTAAGTGAGTCCCAGTGGGGCAGAACCGTCACTCCCTTGAGACACGTGGGAGCCCCATAACTGCGGGCACTTCAGTGCACCGGCTGAGGCGCACAGGCGTTTGTGGCCGAGGAGAGCCTACAAATGTTTCAGTCCCCTTCCCACCTTTTTGGGGTGTTTCCTGCCTGTGGCTGAGCCTCCGGCCTTCCCCGTCCGCCTCAGGTCATTCACTGCAGCGGCTACCTGAAGATCCGCCAGTACAGCCTGGACATGTCCCCTTTCGACGGCTGCTACCAGAACGTGGGCCTGGTGGCCGTGGGCCACTCGCTGCCTCCCAGCGCCGTCACGGAGATCAAACTGCACAGTAACATGTTCATGTTCCGCGCCAGCTTGGACATGAAGCTCATCTTCCTGGACTCCAGGTGAGTGGTCGGGGGCCAGAGTCCGCCCGAGCGGGAGGGCGGCCCAGCTGAGCCGCCCAGAGCTCCTCGTCGACCCGTTTTGCGGATGAGGTGACTGAGGGGGCCCTGAGAACTGAGGGTGGGCACCCAGCTCTGAGGGGTTCTTCCGGGTGGGGGTAGTCCCGCAGCCCGCGCTCATCGGGCGGGGTTACTCTCCGCAGAGTGGCGGAGCTGACGGGGTACGAACCTCAGGACCTGATCGAGAAGACTCTGTACCACCACGTGCACGGCTGCGACACCTTCCACCTGCGCTGCGCCCACCACCTGCGTAAGACGCCACCTTGCCCGGCGGGAGGCGGGGCGGGACGGGGTTCGGAAGGGGCAGGGCCGGTGGTGTTGCTGGAAGAGGCCCTGCGCGCCTTGCCCCAGTACTGGCCCCAGCTCATCTCCCTAATCATCCCCTGGCCCTCCTGCAGGCCGAGGGAGTTTCTGAGTTCCCGGGTGAAGTTCTCCCAGCAAGGGTCTTGTTCTCCTATTGATACGCCTCCTCCCCTCCCCCAAGATGGAGATGGAATCCAGGACTGCCCCGCTGGGCTCAAGCTGGCACTGACTCACTTCAGCTTTGAAACAACTTTGCTTTGAGCTTAATCTCCCGGGACAGGGAATGTGAGCAACCGGGCGTTGATGCCCACACCCGACCTTCCATAGTTAGAATATCGAGTTAAGTGTTTCCCTCTTTTTTTTTTTTTTTTAATTCTTGAGGGACCGGAGGACTCAATGCTACTCAACAGGACCAACTGTTCGTTTGAGAATGTTCTGGTTGTCTCTCCCTCCTGCCCAGGCGCGGCTCTTAGGGCTCCCTGGGGACCTGCACTCCCCACCGCCAGGGATAACATTTGGGCCGATTCAGGAGCAAGTCTGTTCACCACGAGCCGTCTTCTCTCTCTCCATCAGTGCTGGTAAAGGGGCAGGTCACCACCAAGTACTACCGGTTCCTGGCGAAGCGCGGCGGCTGGGTGTGGGTGCAGAGCTACGCCACCATCGTGCACAACAGCCGCTCGTCCAGGCCGCACTGCGTCGTCAGCGTCAACTACGTCCTCACGTGAGTCCTACGTCCTCACGTCTGGGACCACGCGGCCCCTGCCCGGCGACGCTGGCCTCCACGAGGGGGCAGGGGGTGGGCACGGCCACGGCAGGCGACGCTGGGGTCCGCTGGGAAGGGTCGGTTTGACCCCGAGCGCTGAGTGCGCTGGGAGGTGGCAGCTCTAGCACTTTCATCATCATGAAGAGCCGTCCTTAGGTTCCAGAGAAAGATTTAGGAGTTTTCCCCTTCGCAGTCTATTTTTGATTTCTACTCTCTCTTTTTTAACCTTTTAAGCGCACTCTTAAATAAAATTAAATATGGCAGGAAGAGAGAGGAAGGGAGGGAAAGAGAGAGAGCGAGCTCGGGAGAGAGAGGGAGAAGTGTCCCACGTACGGAGCCATTTATAGTGAACAAGCAGGACATCTGTTTCACTTTTCAAAGCTGGGTTTGAAGTGCTTAATTTTAACCAGAGTCTCCAATCAAAGTTCAGAGTTCTGAGAGAGTGATTCCGTCCCTGAACCACAAAGAGGGTTTAAGTGACCAGGAGGGTCTAACTTTAACCTCTAGAAAGTGAAGAGACCCCACAGGACCTAAGGCTGCAAGTCGTGGCGGGGCTCTCCGGTTGCCCTGTCCTCTCTAGGTGAGGGACCGGCCTGGAAGCCACCTGCCGCCAGGGGATGAGACTGGCTGGGCGGCCGGGTGACCACACTGGAGCCTTATTCTTTCTAGAAACAATCATCGTTTTTGTTTGCCAGTGTGGCCCTATAGGCTCATCACATGTCCTGGTATGCTGCTGGTGAAGAACACACTTTCTGTATAATGTTTGTGAACGTACAATTGCTTAGCGTTGAAGCCTTTATGAAGAACCCTTTGGTGTGCACTTACCTCTTGTTGTTTTTCATTTTTTTAGTGCAGGTTGAAATTCTTGTGATTTTAGAGAGCCTGAGCAGTTATTTACTTTGGAAGGTTGACACAATGAGCACTTAGTAGGAATGCTGTTTTGACAATAGGATGTTGGTTCAAGGGTACTATTTTGAATCAGACTATACTATTGGCCATGAGGAATAGATTAATTTCACGTTCTTTTAAATTAGCAAATTAAAAATGTAGTAGTTGGACATATTATGCTTGGCAATAAGATTCTTTACTCTGCCCTGTTAAATAAGAAAATTTAATTCAGTAGACTTGGAAAATGAATTTGGCTTAAGTGAGGATTCAGTATTCAAGAAAAATAGCTGGTTGTTAAGAAACTTTTCTTTCTTTCATTTTAGTAAATGGTATTAAAATGGATGCTTTTAAGTTTTTGTAATAGCAAGAAGGCTGTGGATTTTAATACAGAACAGAAAACATACCAATATTTGGGGTCCAAAACCATCTATTTTAATGAATGCAGCTTTTCACATTATTAAAATAAACATAAGAGAAATGGCAAAATATAATTCATAAAACAAGTCACTTTGTGAAGTAGAAGTATTAAAGAGTGAAAAATTATGTCTGCTTACCATGGAAAGGAAATGGACATTCTTTAAGAAGGTGCTTTGTATGTCTGAGACATCACGAGCATTATACATACACTCTGTTCTCTGGTGGGTGCCTGTGGTTAGTAATCATTTTTTATCAAACAGCAGGGTATATAGTCACACAGCTCCATATAAATGATCAGAATGCAAGTTGGACCTCCCAATGGGTAAACTTAATTTATGTTTAGAGTCATTTTGAAATATTCTGTTTTGTTTTCCAGTGGGTAAGTGTACTTTCTTTCTTCTGTTGACTGTGTCATTCTTCACTTTACACACTTCTTCAGATTGCAGGATTAGGCTCCCAACTTTACATCAGATTAAAAAGATGTAATGAGGATAAATGATTTACAGAAAAAAAATAGCACTGCACACGATTTTCTGAATGTTTTATACTGCTGAATGAAAAGAGAAATAAACACACAGAAGCACACAAGATGAAAAGCTGAAATTGATTACCCTTTTATGAGTCTCAGCTCCAATTCTTTGTATAAAAATTCTGAGAACAGTTTTTATAGCTGTAAATGTGGAAATTGCCTTAGATGGAATGTCATCAAGTGGCTCTGTGTGTGTTGACAGGATTTTCATAATGAACAGGTTGCAGTTTGTTTGATGTGTATGTCACACATCTGGCTGGAAGTTACTAATTTACATTGTCTTAGCAAATTAAATAGATGGCTATTGATTCTCTATGGTAGCAGTGAACTACCACATACATTTGTTTTCAGGGCTAGTTCTCTATGAAGCCTGAGAATGGTAAGTGAATTCCTTTCAAATACACTACCTCAAATGATACACTGCAAAGCACAAGCCCCTCCAAATAACTTGACAGGCCAGATGTTTCCCAAATATAGACATTTTAATAGCATATATTGTGAGGGGGTTTTCATGTCATGAAATAGAGAGAATTTTAGATAATCATTGGTCAAATGAAAGTGTGACATGTTGGTGGGAGCTACATTCCTAAGAAACTCATTTTTCTGATTTCCTGATGGTAAATTTATTGTTCAAGTTAAAATATGCCTAGAAAAATCAGTCATTATTATCTGATAAAAGCAATGATGAATAGAAATATTCAGTTACCTTGTTTTAATTAGTGGCTGTGACAGTGAGTGTAGGAATTTTAGAGGCAGGTGGTACTTATACTGGCCTTGTATGACCACTGTACAAAATGTTGATGTTCTGAAAATCTGGAGAAAAAAGGAGAAGACATTATGATAAAATTTTAAAAATTCTCTTAGCTTTTCTCTAAGTCTTTGAGGTTCCTTGAAGCTTGTGTAGCTCTTCATTAAGGGCTATCCCTTCCCCTAAAAAAACCCAAAACAGGAAAAAAAACACCCCCAAACTGACCAGCTCATGACTCTCTATAAGGTACACATACCCTGTTAGCTTTTAAAAAAAACCTTTCTATAAACTTTGAGTGCCCACAGGCTTTGAAATAAGTGTTAAGGGTGACAGGCTGACAAGGCCCTACTCCCTAATTATTTTCAAGAGGAGAGCTGAATGGAGCTAGTGTCTAGCTAGTAACAGTGACTGTGGGCAAAGTCCAGAGACACGTGGAGAGTGAAAAAAGAGCATACTGTGTAAAGCCTAAGTAATTTCCTTGGATTTGTATTTCTTTGAGTTTGTTTAATTAGTAGTATTAATTATTCATAGGCAGTTCAGATGGAAAACATTAATACCCAATGTGAAGAAAATTGAAAATGTGGAACACCCAATAAACTATGAAAAGTAATTTCTAGAAAAATGAATGGTCTTGATTCTCTTTATGTTTTAAAAACAAACTTTTATAATCTACTCTTAAGGATAAACCATTAAGATATAAAAATTTCATTTTAAAGTCTTATAAAACATAGGATTTTCATAAGTATAGAAAGGTTGAAAAAATAGTACAATAAATATTCGTATACATGTCATCTATAAGCCTTATTTGCTTTATGTCTCTCTCTTCCTCTCTGTATGTCTGTTTGTGTATGCGCTTTTTCCTCTGCTGAATAATTTTAAAATAAACTACAGACATCATGATACATCATCCTTAAATAACATTCCCTTACATAGCCACTGTACCATTTATGATGGCACATTTAAAGTGTTCAAATTACAGTGTGTAGAAGGTTGCAAAAATATACATGAGATCTAGTCTACTGATGCCATTAAAGACAGTCTGCCACTGAAATTCATCAAGTACTCACTGATGTGTGATCTCATTTAAGCTGATTGATAGATGATATATTATGAGGGGACATAAAAACCCCTTGTCCTTTTCTGTAGCATATAGTGGTAAAATGTTAGTGTATTTTAAGCTAGACTTCTAATGGGAATTGTAAGCAATACAATCTCATATTTCACTTGGAAAGTAAAAGAGAAGATTTTCAAGAATGATTTGGTAATTTTGGAGTCAGATACATTTAATATCTTCAACCATTTTTGTTGTTGGTAAAGAAGCCTTCTCTGTTTATGTCTAAGTTTAGGATGGAACAGTGTTTCAGTGGAAAATCTCACATCCTGTTTTAGAGTGATTCATTGAACACATAGAAGAAGGTAATTTTCTGTGTTACAGTTTCTAAGTGTTAGAGAAGGCAGAACAAATATAGACAATTTACATTAGAGGTCCTTATAACTTGCTATCCACTGGTAATCTTGTAAATTTGTTTATAAGTTAGGGCAAATGGCAAAGGAGCCATACTTCCTTCATGGGGAAGGGGGACGAAGAGGATATCTACATTGTAATTATCGCAGATCCCATAACTTTTGTTCTTCTTTGCATAAAACCATTGTTCTCACAATTAAAAGGGTTTTTTAAGTGTTAACACACTTTGTGAATATAAACCTTACCATAAAGCAGTAAACATAATATGCTCATATTAGTTTGCTCTTTCAAGTGTGTTAAGAGTGTTGAGTTAATTTGAGCACTTAAATTAAAAAAAAAAATAATTAACTTAAAGGCCCAGTGATATTATTGTTGTTACTACTAGGAAATTTTAATAAATGTATTCTAAAAACTTGACCAATAATTTGAGTAGTTATAAAAAATGAATAGTTTTTGAGTAGTTATTTTTCTGGTTAGCAAAACCACTCTTTTATATTACAAATAATGTCAAATGAATCACCTTTTGACTTAGCAATCTACATCAAAATGTAAAGTAATTTATTCTTGTGCCTCAGGTAGATGGAGCACTCGTTGAGTAGATTTAATGTTTTTGATCATTAAAAATAATAATTATATACCAATGTATACTCTTAAATTAGGATTGATCCTTAATTGTGTCAAATATTATTATTATGATAAAATTGAACATCAAAACCCCTTGTCCTTTTCAAAGGACTTGTTAGGTAACTGAATTGTCATAGAGACAAATTGAAGTCACATTTGTATGGATAGTACTTTTTGACAGTCAACGCTATTAGTAGTAATTAACAGTAATTTTATAACTACCAAAACAATTTGTTAAAGGAGAGAACTGGGACATGTAGTCAATTTTACAGTGCCTAATACCAGTA